CCGCTGCTGTCCCTCAGCCCCACGGGAGGTTTCCAGGAGCGTCACCAGCCACCGGCCCACCGCTTGAGGAGCACGGCCGTGGGAAGGCACTGTACCCGCTGCACAAGGAGATGGTGGTATTTTAAGATGTTTAAACTTTAGCCCCATGCCCACAAAGCAACTGACTGTACATGTTCCTGGACCCGAAATGCAGGATAATATTTCACACCAGTTTAGTGTCCTTCCTCCGTAAAGCTCAACAGACTTATAAGAATCAATCCTGTGCAAAACCCTTTTGAAATAGCTGAAGTGATTCAACATCTGACAAACATGTCATTTGCATCTTTGTTGTTAATTTACTGAAGAGAGAAATGAGGCACAGACTTCAAGCAACCTGTCAGTGGTCACACACCACAAGATTAAGAACGACGTTGAAATGCAGCATGAGTACAGCGAGCTTTGTGACCCATTTGTTTCCATTCGTTTCCATTCGTACTGGTGCCTGCAGCCCAGAGCCTTATCTCTGAATCTGAAGCATCTACTCTGTACTGAGAAGGAAACCTCCACGTGGGGTAAGCAGCTGTAGACGGACTGCATTGTGGAGCATCAAGCTCACCTGTGGCCAACTTGTTCAGCTCGCAGGAGCAAGAACTTGCACTAGTGGTACCAGCCTCTGTTCTGCAAGCGCATGGGAACGTTTGGCCTAAATTCGCTCTGGAAAATGTGCTAGTATATCAGCCGTGTGAATGTCCCATGAGGTGGGACTGCGAATGGGCTCCGAGCCTGCTTACCTGACAGTGTTGTCATAACCAGTGTCAATAGTGGCATAGATGGGATAAGAGGAAGCTCTAGCCTGCCTCTCCTTCTCTGGTTTAATCACTTTTTTTTACTGTCAGTGCAAATATCTACATTGGACGCAGAATTTAATACTGAGCACTCTTTGTTTTCAGCTAGTGGGAACTGAAGGTAAAGGATTTGTCATGACATTGCTGCAATGATATGGACCATTACCTTAGTGAAGTGTATGTGTTTTTTGCTTTGTAAAAGATATTGAAATAAATCCTCTTTCTGAGAGAGAAACAGTCTCTTCTTTGTCTTAGGTAATTCACAGCACATCTGGTACCAGGGCTTCTGGGTAATCTATGGGCTTTCCCCATCACCACTTCTGCCAAAACACCCCCATCTTCATTTTCATTTGCGTTGTTCTCTTGTAAGTAGAATAATACATGGTAAGAAATGCAAATGTGCAAATGTTATTTGCGTTGGGCTCCACAAGTTTGACAGGAAAAAAGGCTTCCGCTTGTGGAGGAACTGAATTCACTTTCGCATGCTGGGAAACTTTCAAGGGCAGAAGAATCCAAAGGGAGAGGGTTTTATTTTCTATCATTTTTCATGAGCAACAGGAAATGAGGCTCTGGGGGGAACTATTCCAGGGTATGAGTTTACCATCTGTGGCCTCTTGAAATTAATTAGTATGATTGATCAGTTCAGAGAGCTGCAATATATTTGTGCTGCCTTCTTCAGCATTGTGTTACCAATAAGTTTAACCCAGTGCAGGCAGTATGTTATGTAAAGTTGAGGGTCTGCCATATGGAGTCTTCTTAATGGAGGGGCCTTCCTGGGAGAATAGATGTGCTGCTGAATTTGCGTGGCAGAACTGAATGGGCAGTGAGTCTTGTGGATGCCAATTGCTTATCCAGGTAACCTTACTATACAACTCAGTAGTCTGATGAGAAAAGGAAAACCAGCTATGCAGGATCAGATTACAGAAACGCTGACATTGTCTGTTCCTTCTCAGGAGGAAGTGTCTGAAATATTTGGCAATGGCCTCAATGCCACAAGTTTCCTTTTCTACACAAATATGGCAGTATCTGTAAACTACACATTGGAATAGATCAGGAGGTGAAGGGAAGGGATTTGGCATCCTAATTTTTTTTCCCCAAAACATGAGGTTTGCAGAGCTAGTGAGCTAAACAATAGCATCCCAAAGGAAAAAATAGACTGGTGGGTAGAGGCCAGGGTTTAAGAGCTAGGAAACTGGGATCTATGTCCTGACTCTGCTTCTGCCTTTGAACAAACCAAGGTAAGTCACTTTTGTCACCTGAGTGACAGGAAGACAATGTTATTTCCTGTGTAACATAAAGTCCTGTGTAGGCGTTTATTAACATCAGTAGTGAGCTTAGAGACTGTGAAAACATAAATAGAATGAAAACATTAAAAAAGACCAACACTATATTACTATCTCTGGGCCAGTAAGCTTAAAGGAAATATAGGGACAGAACACAGGATGTCACTTAATATTGTAATTCCTCACTTCAGCAACCTTCTATAATCTGTCCGCTTGTTTTGTTCCTAAACCAATAAGACTATCATTTTCTATGGAGATAAGCAGGATTTTTCTGACCAGTAAAGCTTCTGAAATGCCGTATCCATCTGGGGAAGAGGGTCATTGCCACTTGAGAGGACTCTTCTATGGAAGCAACTACATTACTTTCCTCTGGATAAAGATTTGCCTTGTGTAAAAATCAGATTAATCCATGCCTAGATTAAGGCGTTAACTGTCCAGAGTAACTTTGTGAGACAAATAGGAAGAGAGATGCAAAGGGGGGATAGACAACTATCATTGATGTGAAGGTGTCTATGGCAAGAGAGAGCATTTACTTATGGAATCACGGATTCAGAATAAAGATATTGCCTACCAGTAAACACAGCTGGCATCACAATGAATTCATACTCCAATCCAACTCCTATTGTTGCCATTTCCTCACTGTGGGAACCTTCTCATTATGAGGAAATAATGACATGGTTGATTTAATATCAAAATCGAAATGCTCAGGTTGTAGCTCATGGGTGGTCAAAAGCCAACAAAAGTGCATAGCAAAAATGCTTTATCTGAATGTGAGTAAACTTTTTGTTCTTTTCTTTACCTTTGTTTTTTTCTTTCCTTCTTTGGTACTGTCTGTAGCTGGCATCAAGGTCCAGACCTCCAAAATCAGATTTCCTGATGCAATAAAGGGTGAAGGGTGAGACCTCATCGT